TCCGTCAAAATGACGGGCAGCGAAAAGGTCCAGCGCAACCTCTGGCTTCCAGTTCTGTTTCATATGGGTGTTGAGATATGTATCCATAGATCTCTTCAATTTGCTCTCAAAGTGCACCAGATTGATGCTTTTAACTTCAACATTTAAAAAATCTTCCCACGGGAGCATGCCGCCGGACCCCCCTAGAGGAGGTGAGTACCCCCTAGAGGAGGTGAGGACCCCCCTAGAGGAGTTGAGGACCCCCTAGAGGAGGTGAGGACCCCCCTAGAGGAGGTGAGGACCCCCCTAGAGGAGGTGAGGACCCCCCTAGAGAGTGTTACAGTATCCATTCCCCACTTATAAAAATAGCACTTTACCACTGCACCCTCTCTAATCTCAGATGCACCCTGAGTGATTTTGTTCTGGAACCGGGCCTGCAGGTTTCCATGCTTAAAGGTGGGGTAGGTAATTTTGGAGAAACCAGCTCGAGTGCGCTAGAATTTGAAAATACGCAGCCGAAAGAAATCTGCCACTTCCTTCAGACTTCCTTACAGAGCCCCTCCTCCAACACACACGAACGCGCACATGACCAATGAGGGCACGAGATAAGTTTGTGCACAGATGGAAGGCTGACAGGCAGGTAGGCCATCCAGTTACTTTAGTGATAGATATTTCAGATGATTGGTCGTGCTTTTTACAGCGCTACGGCTTCCACAGATTAATTTTTGTATGTATATATTGTCAAAGCATTTAATATATTCATTGCTATCGGGATGTTAAGAGCATTCCATGGAATATAACAAAAAGTTTTCTGAAATAAATTACATACCCCACCTTTAAATGTTCAAAAATCTCTTTATTTTAACTGCGGCACCTCTTTTCACCCTCTGTCTGAAACCAGAGCCCAGTCTGCTCTGATTGTCTCTGTTGTGATTGGTCAACCGCTTAGAGATGTCCCGCCCCTTAGCCAATCACGTACAATGTGTTAGAAGCGAGAGTGTTACACAGTGATGTCACTATGCTCCAGAAGTAACCACAGGAGTTTCACTCACTGCGTTCTCAGGGTGGAAGATGTAGGAGGCAGGTGAGTTGTCTACGATGATGACTTTGCTGATCTCTCGGCCCAGCCGGCTGAGGTCTTTGACGTAGTTTCCTCTGTGGAAAACACAGGATTCCCTGAAGAGCCGGGCGCGAAACACCCCCCACTGATCCAGGAGGTCCGCCACAGGGTCAGCGTACTGACAGGGGAACAAAGAACATCAGGTTAATATGATCTGTGTAAATCTCTTCGTCATCTTAAGTGTCAAACAAACAAACTGTTAGAGCCAGTATTTCGTTTTTATAAGAAAGGCCACCTAATTGTGACGTCTGTAGTCAACACATTATAAAAGACTACAATTCCCACGGCGCCTCCTCTAAAGTGACAGTGATGGGCAACCTGTCAGAAAGACGGCATCGAGGTTCAGTTTAAGTTATCAAGTTATATAAGCCTTATTTTCTTTGTTGCATGTGTAAACGTTTGTTATTTTATTTTGTGCAAACACATCGCATAACATCATCCAAACCATCGGAGGCCAAGCAACTCTTTTAAGTAATATAAAGGAAATAAACAATTTTAAAAATGTCTGTTTAAGGCGTCTAGTGGCTTGATAGAAAAACAAGGAAGGAAGCCACGACACGAACCTTGGCTAAGCTCGCTGTGAAGAGGACGCATTCAAAGAGATCCCCCATCTTCTGGAGGAACTCGTCCACGTGCGGCCTCTTCAGCACGTACACCTGGACCAGAGACACAGATTAACACAAACACAACACTAACACAACTGTTGATTACCGAGAACAATCACATGTCAGGAAAGATTACCCAATCAGTCTCACCCGAGTGCTCATGAACTGATTCCCAGTATACTTAATGGGAAAAGCTGTTATTTATGGTTTATCAGTTTTTGAGCTAATTAAATTCCATGTTTCGGCCCTTATGAAGTTAAAAATGTTAGCAGTCTAACTTCCTCAACACAATAAAGCATAATTTACATTAATAACAAGAATGGAAACATAGCTAGGCTTTGGGACAGCGGGGTATGCTCGCAACAAGTTATGATTACAGCCCTTACTCAATTCTGATTGGTCAATTCGGACATTCCAGAGGTTGTCAATTTCGCTAACAGACCGTTGCTAGGGAGAACAGACTGTTGCTAAGGGGAATAAAGGAACTGTGTGCAGTCATATCCGCAGCAAAAAGTCCTGTAAATGTATAGACTTTGAAAGTGAGATACATGCAAGAATCTGACCGGCATGAGAGGAATAAACATTTTTCAAATAATACCAAACCACACACACATTTCTACTCGATCATATCTGCTATTTCTGCTCGTCTTCGTCCTCTTCAGTGGGTCTCAAGCGGTTAGCTGCTGCCCCCAAGTGCAAGTAATCAAGAATAGGCCGAAACAGATCGAGAAAGCCTATCCTGGATTACTTGAACCCGGTCACAGCTACAGCCCAGAAGCTTCTCGTCTTCACACGCAGGAAATAGACCTTAAAACAGGAAACCAACATGTCTGCAGGTGCATCAGTGCCTCTGCTACACATTTATCTGTCTGTACAGCGAGCTAAGACACAGAGAATACATTGAATACATTCAGAGAGGAGTGTTGAGCTGTCCCAATTCTTCTTTCTTAGCGGTTAGATAAGAGAGAATAATAAAATACTAAAGGGAATCAAATGGAGCCACAGCTTCCAGGGGAGATCTTGCAAAGTAATACATGTTGTTTTATTTAGGTCCACTTCTGGGAGTCCTTCCTCTCTGAGCAGCATTACCTGATGAACGGTGCCATCTATCTCCACCGGGACGATGAAGTCGGCATTGCTGATGGGCTGCGGGAAGACAAGACAGGGAGCAAGGACTCAAACATCGTCTAAATAGCACAATTTGCAGGGAAACCGCTAAGATTCAAGATTCAAAGGTGTTATGGTCATATGCACAAAGCTACAGTGTAGACATGGCAATGTAATGCTTCTGATCTGAGCTCCTCCAACAATGCAACAGATATAATAAAATACAAAATGAAAAGTAGTGCAAAAAGTCTATATACAGCTGCAAGAAATGTGAACCCTTTGGAACTTCCTGGATTTCTGCATAAATTGGTCATAAAATGTGTTTTCTGATCTTCATCTAAGTCCCAACAATAGACAAACACAGTCTGCTTAAGCTAAAACCACAAAAACAATGATATGTTTTGATGTTTTTATTGAACACACCATGTAAACATTCACAGTGCAGGGTGGAAAAAGTATGTGAACCCTTGGATTTAATAACTGGTTGACCCTCCTTTGGCAGCAATAACCTCAACCAAACGTTTCCTATAGTTGCATATCAGACCTGCACAACGGTCAGGAGGAGTTTTGGACCATTCCTTTTTACAAAACTGTTTCAGTTCAGCAATATTCTTGGGATGTCTGGTGTGAATGGCTCTCTTGAGGTCATGCCACAGCATCTCAATTGGGTTGAGGTCAGGACTCTGACTGGGCCACTCCAGAAGGCCTATTTTCTTCTGTTGAAGCCATTCTGTTGTTGATGTACTTCTGTGCTTTGG